AACTTTGCAAAGAAAGATCGTGTAGAACTGGGAGGGGTCTCATTTTAATCAGAAATGCGCGGGCTACAATCCTGCCTCATTAACAAAGGTTTTGTTTATTTTTCAGGAGTTTTGAAAAACTGGTTTTCCAGAAATCCGATATCTGAAGATCTATCGGCCAAAATGATTGTTATATTCGGAATCAGCATAGTTGATAACCTATAACTCACTAGGTTTTAGCCCGAAAGCGGTTTGCAACCTGGGGAGGTTCCCTCGTTGGTTTCGAGCTTATCTAAAATATTTTTGTTTTATACGCTTTTTCACGTGATTAAACAACTTCACCTTTCCATAAATACAACAGATCCTTTTCAATCTTTTCTTTTTTTCGAGCTTTTCTCCATCCATATTTTTGTACTTGTAAATAAAACGTACTTGTTCATTACATTTTCATTTTCATTTTTCGCATTTCTCTTTATATGCAATTATGTGTATAAGTATCAAATAAACAAACGAAACACACACACACACCACAAGTGATAACACTGATAGATAGACAAAACAAAATAAACAACGGACAATAAGAAAAGCGAAAAGTTCATTCACATGTGAGCAAAATGAAACGTGTTTATCAATAGTAAAAAAACACATTTGATAAATTGCTCTCCATCAAGAAAACGAGTTCACAAAAACATGCAACCTTATATTCGCGGCCGTTCGCTATTTTCATCAGTTACACACAACACAAAATACCACTGTGCAAAAAAAAAAAATTATATATTTGTACAAGATAAATAATAAAATAGAAACTTTGTGTAGCAGAAATGGCAGAAATTTGGTGGGTATGACGGGAAACTAAAAGATCTGCTTTATGAAAAAAAGGATGAAAGGGATATTCACCGAGTGTTCAGAAAAAGAAGGAGCAAGAACAAGATGGAATGAGACACTAAAAGCGTACGGTGAATGTTTATGTGGGATAACATTCAGATAAAGAAATGCGTTAAGACTGCAAACAAATGGTTCAAAAATTCTGTGAAAAGAACCATGTGTTTGATGTGAAACAAAATCACTTAGACTAAGTTTCTTTGTCGTAGCAAATAAAAAAACTTGCGACCTGCTGCACGCATTCAGATGAGTCAAGACAGATGAAAAAAAACTGTTTCAATATTTGAATAAATCCAAAACACAAAATAGTTTTAGTTTCTGTTTATTTGATATGGATGATGTCTCACTTGTGGTAAAACATTTGTCCGTTGAACTAATTGTGCTTGTTGTTGTGCTACGATACCCGTCGTTTGATAAGCGGCTGCTGTTGGTTGTGTTGCTGCCATCCGATAGCCCGGATAATCCACTACCTGATATGTTTGATTTCCAGCAGTTCCATATGGACTAATCTGATACGCCGCATATTGTGGTTGTTGAGTTTGTTGTTGTTGTTGAGAAGCTGCATTGAGAGCGTTGGCCGATAGAGCTGCCGAATAAGCAGCGGCATTATTTTGTAAAGCTGTTGCTGCTTGTAAAGCCGTCAAACCTCCATTGCCTGTTGCTGAATTTTGTTGCATTTGTGCTCCCTGAAATATAAAATCTTTATACAAATGAGTACTAATGTTTTATGGAGTAACTTGTTAATATTGGAAAAGTTCAAGCTACCTTGTCAAAATTTTTTGTAACGTGAACTTATAAAGTGTTTACACTATTCTGTAATAGTATGATCTCTATTTGGGTAATCCTGGAATGTTACAGATCTTTTTTTTAATTAACAAGTTGTTTCTCTTTTGCATTAAACAGTAAACATAGCCGCTACTTTAGATAATCACTTACAATCGTCGTATAACCATACATTGCGGTTCCAGCGCTTCCAGCTGCTGTGGGCGCTTGAGCTATCACATAACTCTGGCCATTCGCTTGATAAATACCACCTGCTGACGATGTTCCAGTATAATACATTTGCTGTTGACCAAGAGATACGGCCGATTGTAATTGTTGTTGATAGGCTTGTTGAGCTGCATAGGCTTGGACCTAAATTAATAAAAATTAAAATCGATGATTTATCTTCAGTTACTGGAATGGGTAAAAGATTCTTGGATCATACTTGTGATTGTGTTAGAAAACTAATTTGTTGTTGTGGTTGTTGCTGTTGAGCCTGAACAGCATACGTCAATAGTTGTTGTTGCTGCGATTGAGAATTTGCTGTCTGTTTTTGTTGAGGAGACTGTTGCTGACTTTGTGCCTGCGGATTTGCTGCAGATACGGACGTTGAAGTAGTTGATGACTGTCCCACCGTGGGTTGTGAAGCTGTACCGATATACTGAGTTTGTGAAGTTGCTGGATACTGTGGAGTAGTTGTTACTCCTAAAACAATAGTGATTTTTCACTAATTGAAGTTCGATCTTTATAGAATTGGGTAAATTAAGGATTTTCCACGTTTACAGTCAACTTAAGTCACAAGTCATTGCTTGTTCATACTTCTTGATTAGCAATTGACATTCGCTTGTCATTGATATTTAATATGCTTCCATTATACAATCCTCTTACAGAAAAAACATCTCCCAGTATTTTGAAGTTTGCCCACGATCCTCACGTTCTAAAATTCAGCTGTTTTTTTGCAAAAGATTCACCATTTAATTCTCTACAAAATGGTAAATAGAAGACGATCCTGAGACTCGAGATGCCGTCTTAATTGAACAGAAATTAAAATGTCTCAAAGCTTTCAAAAAATAAACTTTTTCCCGATGACGATTTTGACTTTTGAAATCCATGTCCAAAGTAATAGAAAAAAGATCTCAGGTCATTCTTGGCAAGTTTAGATGTGCTCTATCAGTTGGGACAAGTTTCATTTCATCTCCATTCGCTCGATGTGGTAAGATGTTTAGTTAATAACTGGCAGCTAAAACTGAACAAAATGATAGTTTCAACATTCCGATTATTTTCAGAAAAGTGACAGCAGACATTTCACACGTGAATTGAATAGATAAAACGTTTCTCTTCAAAATGACGCAAGAATGAGCCTGATTGTTTCACTTTTGAGTGAGCACTGTTCATTTTACAAACAGTTTCAAAATGCATGTTGAAAAAGCTGAAAAAATAGTCACAGGGCTTTTGCAGAAACATTATTGAAAAAACGGAAATAACGACAGAAAATTCACATTATAGCCATTCGAGAGAGAATTCCATTTCTTCTGCCCCACCCGGTATTTTACTTAATGATATATAAACATAACATTTTGAAAAGTTCCAAGTTAATAAAGACAGGTTATCTGAAAAAATTTTCTCAAGTTGTTTTTTGACATGACTTTAGGTTTATCCGCCCTGATACATGGATACTATACTATAACTCGAAAAAATACTCTCGTAATTACCGTGCTGTGACTGCTGTGTCGACTGAGATACAGCCACTGTACTAACGGGACTCGCCGCAAGTCGTTGTTGATGAGCATATTGTGAGGGTAGTTGAATATATTGTGTTGGTGAAGCTTGAACAGTCGGTTGTGCTGCATATTGATAAACAACTTGTTGTTGACCGTATTGTAATCCACCAGCACTAAAAGACAAGAAAAACGAGAATAAGGCAATCCTGAGAGATTGGTCATAGTAGACTTTTGTTTTTACCCGAAAGTAAGTGGTAATCGACTTTGTGTTGCAAGGGCTGTTTGTGCTTGCTGTTGTTGTAGTTGTTGGGAACCAAGTAAGGCTAATCCCCCATTTGCCGTCCGTACGAGCATATAACCAGGTGGAATACCAGGTACGGATGCTTGGGCCATTCCTGTCGCCATTTGAGTTAACTGTGATGTACCTGGGGCACCCGCTGGTATTTGTGCATAAAGAGTAGGCTGTTGGACTGCTTGTCCCGCATGAGTTGCAAATGCGTATGGACTTGTTTGATAACGCAATGCTTCTAATGGTACACCTAAATTAAATTTTCAGTAGGAAATAAATCAGTTTGAAATTGGTCGACAAAATAACTGACTTACCACCATATACAATTTGACTACCTAATGCAGCGGTGTTCAGATTTGCTGCTGTTGCGTATACTGCTGGTCGAACAGCTGCTGCTGTAGGTAAAGCACCTAACAGGCTTGTTGGTCGATGGTAAGCAGATGTTGCTGCGGTTGGAAGTGCTATTGTCGGTAATGTTACTGCAGATGCTGAAGTTTTAGTTATATTATTAGCCGTCGTAGATGTACTGGTCAATTGTGTTGTCGATGTTGTTGTCGATAAACCATTTGTTGTTACTGCAGATTGTAAAGGAATTGTACTGTTCGCCGATGTAACTGTATTCGTTAATGCGATATTTGATGGAGTGGATGTTGGTGATAAATTATCGTTTGACACTGACATAGTTAATCCATTGTTGTTATTTGGTGCTATCAAACCATTAGAAGATGGTGTGTTCGATGTTGATTCTGTTTTTATTGGTTTAACAACAATATCATCGTATGTTCGTTCAAGTGCTCGCGTAGCTGCTTCGGCCAAGTTCGAGTTCTCTTTCATTTTTAATTTAATTAATTGATCATCTGTTTGTGCAATCACACGTAATGTATCTGTTTCTAATATATCTGGTTCAAAATCGACACTGTCGAAACTTGTTGGCCATTGCGTTCCTTGAATTCGAAAATACATTAGTGTGAAACGACTAGAAAACGAGTGAAGTACACATCTGCCTACCATCCTGTACGAGACTAATAATTGCATAAGGCAAAACATGATGTGGTCGTTTTACTGTATCTTTTCCATCGAATTCATATAAAAATATCTTAATGAAAACAACAAGTAAAGAGTTATGAATTGCGATGAGATTATAACTTACTTGTGATTGATCAAACTGTTTTTCAAGATCATCAGTGTCTTTTGGTGTTATAACCGAACAATGACTTGTAAACTGTGGTGTCGGTGCTATTGGTTGAAGTTTTGGTCCTTTTCTGACTAATGCTGCGGTTTGTTTTCCTTCAACAATCTTTAAAATACAAAATAAGTTGATTCATATACCGATATTTCTCTATATCATCATAATGATGAATGTCAAACGCCTTACTTTAAATACAATCATTTTGATTGTAATACTTCCTTCCCATGTTCGTCTGACACTCGCTTGTCGTATACAAACATCGGCATATTTGCATACGTAAACACCACATTTGCTGTGACCTAAAACAGATTGAACAGAAAAAAAGGAAAATATCCGAAAAAACAACAAATACACACACACACGAATCTAAACTATGGTTCCCGAAATTGAGAAAGAAAGCAATCCATGCAAAATTACATAAATGCTAGAAAACGAGAAGTATAACAATATAGTGTATATAACACTAACGGCGCAACAATAAGCAAAAACAATTAATCAAAAAAACACAGCGAAAATGTTTACATATTAATTAGAGAAAAAAGGTATGTGCTTCTTCTTTCTTTTTTTTCCACTCTCTCTGCGCTCTCATCCATCGAAAACAGCTACCATCACCATGTTCAAATCCATAAATATTCAATAATCATATCAAATTTCTTTCTGCAAAGCTTCGAGTTCGTACTGCATTACTATGAACAGGAAACAAAAAATTTCTTGTCCCTATTCTATTCTTGTGAATGAAAAACCAAGTTTGTTTGATAATCCTCTGTTTAACACCTGCTTCTCAACACTCAAGTTACCTATCGAGAGAAGTTATAATAATTTAGAAATCAACTCTGAAGCCTTAAATTAAGATGAAAAACAAAAATCATCTGAATTGTTCACTTTAAAAGCAAATTTATGGCGTAGAAATGTGATACAATACATAATCTCATTTTAACCACTTCTCTGTTTTTTCCTTCATTCAATAGAAAACAACTAGTACCAATTCAGATTTTCAATTTTGTTAGATCAAACAATATATGATAACATATATTCCTAAGAGTTGAGTCTAATTAAATTAGAATAAATTCAGACGATTACTTTTGCCTAATAAATGTTTAAATAGAATTTACTTTTCGGACATTTCATTAGTTAGGATAAATTTTGTTTTAAGGATATAGAATTACTAAACAATAGGAAAAACTAAACCTTCTCAACAAAGCAGAGTAAATCGACTGTCTAATTTTATTTTTGAGCAGTTTTATCAACAAGCTAATTGACTACAGCATGCTGTAAGTTTGTTTTGCTCGAATTTTCATAATTATAAAAGCCATAAAATAAAACAAGCAAAAAATATCATGCAATAAAGAAATCTAATAGATAGAAAGAGTACAACATTAGACGGTACAGATGATATTATCATCTTTGAAAATTTTACAATTATACTCGTCGCTCAACTAGCTTGTAAAGGAAAGTGATGAACGACTAGTGCATATATTTCTGATAACTACAGTGAATTTTAAAGTGTGACCAAATTATTCATTTTAAAAAAAACACAATACAGACAAAGAAAAAAAATGCGAAAACGATATAGCAGCAGAATTATTTTTAAAAAAAATAATGTTCATATATAGATATATAAAAAATTAAGCCATTAATAAAAATTCACCAAAAACATCGGTTATAAAAAGACAAAAAGTCCAACTCACATGTAAAACACTCCTTGTTCTGTCAATCCTAAATTTATCAAAAATAATAGTTCAACAATACTAGGTTTTAAGTGCTAAATGCACAAAAAGAAACCACTGCATATAGCGACAAATGTTTTTTTTTATAAGCCATGTCACAATGTTAAATTAAAAGAGCTCACGCATCTATATCTCCTATACTATGTACAATGGTCATGCATCATTTGAAAATCGACAGAATATAAAAAAAAAATATGAGCATGCAAACAAGAATTTAAAGCAAGTTTTACAATAATGAGCAAGCATTTTTTTTTTTGTGTATGTGCTAATAATCCCGAATGAACAATATACAGATAAATTAGTAGACAGAGTGTTAATATAAGAGCGAACATATGTGCAAAAAGGATATATAAAAAACTTCAAGAAATATTTATCATTTTTAAAGTTAATGAATTATACTACTGATTAGTAAAGAATAAATAGAGGAGTGCAAAGAGTATGTAAAGATGAAAAAACATTGAATAAGGAGAAAGTTAAAAAAAACAAGTTAAAATTGATCTATAGCAAAGAGGAATAAACAACATGAATATCTATGACAAGCATAAAAAGTGTGAAATGTTTTTTTAGTAAGAAAATGGGAAAAAAAAATAATAATTTATCTACCTATATACAAATTGTACTTACGAACAAAATAGAAAACGATTATAATCAATAGATATAGGTAATTCAACTAATGGATATCAAAAATTCAATTTTAATCCCATTTTTTCTTCATATTTTTTATTTTAAAAATATAATAGAAGCACAGACAGATATACTTGGATATTCTCATACGTAAAAATTTCTTTTATAGATTAAAAATTAAAAAAACAAATAAAATTGAGTTGAATTTTGAGTTGGCAAAATGTTGAATTACCCATCTCTGATCACCACTGATAACTATGAACAAATGTCCAAATGTAACCGTGTAACAAAATCAAAGTTAAAATTAATGCTTGATTCATGTGTGTGTGTATGTGTGTGTATGTGTGTGTGTCTGTATATATATATATATATATATATAAGTATCAAGGTAGCACGGAATATTTCTATAAGAACAATCTTCATTTTATGAGTAATTTTTGACAAAAGTCAAAACATCGTTTGATAATTTACACTTTTTGATTAAATATTCTGTTCTTAATTTTAATCTCAAATCTCATTTTGTTCAAACTTTTTTCTCGGTTATAGATGAACATACACACATCACACATCACCAACTACCATACAGAAAAAACACACGTCCAAAATATTAACAATTAGACATTGAGCTATAAATCTAAGCATAAACCCACACCAGGCATGAAAATAAAACACACACACACACACACACAAACACGCACACACACACGAATTACTACTTCAGTATAAGCATGACATTTAAAAGAGTTTTAAGAAGAAAAAAAAAATAACCAAAAATAAACAACGAGTTATAATATATTACAATCCCCTATTTTTAGTACTTGATCTTTTTTTTTTCGTCTGGTGTGGCAGCTGTTTTTGTTTGTTTCTTTTTTTTTTGTGAATGAATGAGAGTGCATATATGAGCAAAAAAAGCAACAATAAGAGAGAAGATTGAAATAAAAAAATCACAATAAAGTTGAGAATAAATTAGAAAATCACGTGTTAGCGAATCATTTTGAAATTCAACGATATAGTTATGAGAGAGAGAGCATAAAAACATGTAAGTAAATGTAAAATAAATAAATATTATATATACCTAAAACATTGAAAGAAGTTTCGGTGCACTGATAGCCATTGTGACAAATTTCAGACACTTGTGCATCAGATTCTATTAAGAAAGCATAGCGTTCATCATATTCACAGCGATTTTCGGCCGCATTTTGCTCAAATTTTTTTCTTATAGCTGAAAATAAGCAAGACAAGCAAAATATTACGGTCACCAAATATAAAGATAGATATATAAGTAGATAAGTAGATTACAAAATGTGTAAATACCGCGAGAGAGAGAGTTATTATTTAAACCAAAGAACAAAAATAAATCAATTTTGAATAAAAATCAAAACAATCATTGAAAGTCAGGGAAAAAAGATAATGATCGAAGAATTTTCATTTATTAAAACAATAACTCAAGGATGGCATTACTCATTCTGAAATAATTATTTAGTGGATCTGACTATAAGATCTATTTCGAACTTAATTTTACATTTGCTAAATAGTGAACTATTTAAAGACATGCAGGTAATAGTATCTTATTTATAAGTCTAGGGGATCAGTTAAGGTTTGACGATAAGCATATTGACAGGATCAGCTGACCTTTCTTGTGTCCATAGTTCGCTCATCCACTGGAAAGAAAAAACTTTTGATTTTGTATTGAGCATCATGCTTAACAGTACAATATAAATAGGAGTGAGGAAGGATAAAAACTAAAAACAACAAAGTTGAACGACAAATAGCATACATAGACAACTGAAATTGTTGCCTATGAGCACAAATTTCTAGAAACTAGCAAAATCAATTCACAATTTGTTGTTGTTTTTATAAAAGTATGTGCTATTGTAGATACATAATTGTGTGTTTAACGAAAAATCACAAAAAAGAGCACCAAATGGATGTTTCCTCCAATACAAATCCGTTCGGTGCACTCTCTCTCGCACACAACACACAAGCTAAGAAGAGGACGATACAATAATAGAATAGTAAAAAAAAAAACGTTAATTTGAAAGCATGCCAGTCATTTTAAGTTAGATTCATTAGTTTATATATATATATATATATGTGTGTGTGTGCGTTGTCCGCTATAGACATGGAGCTATGTAATAGTCAGCATAGTTATTCTTGCGACAAACTAAAAATAAACACCACCACCAACAACAACAAATAATTGAGATATACAGCATGCAATATTGATTTTCTTTTTTTTGTTTAACAAATGTAAGCACTAAAAATATTAGACTACGATTGTTGTGATTTAATCATCGATATATACCTAGCTGTAGACTAACTACGACCAACAAAAATAGAAAAGAAAAAGAGACAAATACTGTCGAAAGAGCAAAACTGAAATTTATCAAACATGCGGCGGACAAATTAATTTGAAATATGTGTATGTGAAAAAGAAACGTGTGTTTATCACACTCTATTCAATAGAGTTTAGAGCTTTAAATACATTTAATCGATAACGTGCAAGATAAAAGGATGCTTAATTATTAGAACATGTTAGTAAGAAACTTCTACAGACAAATAGAAATCACGCATACAAATAAGCCCATTATAGAGAAAATAACTGATAAAAATGGCTAATTTCAATCTTAAGCTTTCTACTTCTTGCATTTGTGCGGTGTTCTGTACTATTTTTCATTTACTTGCTAACCTACAATCCCGTAGATGCATCTGTGTTCGCTTCTTTCTCATGAAACATTGATAATCCATACATAAAGTGCTGTAAAAACAAAATGTGGTGAGCGTGTCAGAAAAAGAAGTAATAAAAAAACTGAAAGTATATATCTATTAATAAATCTAACAGTTATAACAAAGTATATAAATTATTAATCTGATAAAAACGTTCTATTAAAAATATGAAAAAGGTACTAAAATGCTTCGATATATTTAAGTGCACGTTTTTTTTTGGATTTAAGAAAAATAAATAACAAAAAGAGTAAAACGAGCAACAACAATTTTGCAAAGATAGAGCATTTTGGTTGATACAAATATAAAAGTATAAAATAGACACACGCACACACACACACAGTCACAAAATCTATTGATAATAATATGAATCAGAAACAAACATCAAACAAAGATCAGTAATGGGTCTGTCAAGATAATAAAAGAATCCAATATTTTGGCTTTTAGTCTTCGTTAAGAGTTTTAGAGCAGCATGTTATCTTTATTAGGATTCACGGTTAGATTTAATTCTTAAATCTGCTCTCACCAAAGGTGGGGGAACTATCCGTAAGAATGGAAACCTTTTCCCGATGGGAAAATTTCTCGGTATTTGTAAGAGTTCTTTTCTTCTATGTTTTTCAGCAAAGATATTTGTTTTTTAAAAGTTTCTGGAAAATTTCATTGACGGACGTCAGAGCAAACGGATATATTCTGTATCTCTGGCTCACACTATGGGAACAGTTAACTATAAGAGAATTAAGAAAGTTTAATCATACTTTCCGATATGAGAAGTAGCTAACTGACAGGTAAAGCAATTTAGACAGACCTACTATTTCTATTTGTTAATAACATCCAGTTTTTTAAAGTCTCATGCTCTGAAACTCAACTCTCAGATGGAGATAGTAATTGGTCTTCGAAATTTCTCTAATAAACGTCTCTAACCATAAGGGACAGTTTCCATATAAAAAGGAAGAAACACTCAGCACGTGCCATCACCCACAACAGCACTTCCCTCCATGATCTATATAGATTATAAATCAAGATAATTAGAGTGGGATAGAAGGTGTTAGAGGGTCGTAGGATCTACAATTATATTATATAGCCGGTTGAAATAGCTTTTGAAAGAACTGTTTTTGCTGCACAATGAGACAATATATTAAAGCTATTTGTTGAGAACTCAACTGAAAGCAAGAACTATTGTCCATTTCAAGTTTGAAAATCTCAGTTGTTTTTTTAATAACTTTTGAGCAAAAATTCAGTATATCTTTCAAGAATCAAATCTCTAGGTATCCAGGGTGAAGGTGAGGCTACGAACTTTCACTCTCATCTTGGATAGCTAGATATTTAGAGATTTGACTCTTGAAAGATATACTGAACAGTTACCGTTACTTGTAACTGGTTGTTATCGTTACTTGTACGGTTACTGCTTACCCGATACCGTTCCAAGAACGTCAACTGTTCAGAAGTTACAGTTACTGCAACAGCCCTAGTTCTGTTTGGTAAACAAAATCGTGTAGTTAATATGTGTTGTCATGTAGTCCAGTAATTTGGATTTATTTTTGAAGTTATTAAGTCTTAAAATCGCATTTTATTACTAGTTTTGATGGTTTCAAGAAAACTGCTAAATCTCCTCAATGACAAAAGCCATTCACCACAGATTTGTGGAAGACAGCATAGGCTGTCTAGTTAAACCAGCTGCCCATCTCTAACACTTTTCGCTCAAAAGTTATTTAAAAAACAACTGAGTATTCTATCTTGAAATGAATACTAGTCTGGACTGGACATAAACAAATATAAGCCCAAAACCACAAGCGAGAAAATTATTATTATTATTTTACCTATTTATACAAAATTGTCAAATAACAACAAAGAAAGAGGGAGAGCAAACATATTAATCGAAGAAAGAAGAGAAAATGCTAATTTTTGATAATATTATATTGGAGGGGAGAAAGGAGGCTTGTGTATATAAAGAGAGAAAGAAAAGAGAATAAACAACAACAATAACCGACATGAATTTTCTAATAAGATATGTTGCTGGTGTGTGCTATGTTTTTTTTGGTATTATTATGATTACACTTTGCCTTTTTTTTAATATATTATATAGCAAACATTTTGGAAAAACAAAAATAAAGAAAAAAACAAAATGCATCAACAACGATCCTAATGTGTGTGTGTATGTAAGATCTTTTCACTAAACATAATTGTTTTATTGTTTTTTTTTTTCATTCATTCATAAACACTTACCCTTCCTATAAAATATTTTAAAAATTAGAAAGAAAACATGTATTTAATCAGTTTTTAGTTCTTTAGAACTGACATTAGTATCCTAGAAAAAATTAGAACAGGAGGATAACAATACTCACCGAGAAAATCATCAGTCAATTCTGTATTAACAATTAATTCAGCCTTAACTGGGCGCCATGTTATTGGTCGTTGATCCAAAAAATGTTTATGTACAACAGTTAATAGATTTCGTTCAATGCTAGAATTTTGACTAGTTTCAATAATCATTTCTATAATAAGAAAAAACAACAGATTTTCTGCTGAAAGTGAAATAAAATAATACATACTCAACGGTTCCACTCCGTTTTCTTCAATCATGATTCTAGTATTCTGTAATATTTCTAATTTTTGCTAATCTGCAAGAAACTAATATACACAAAAGGAAATTAAGATCCATTTCTGACTTTGAGACTCGACTAGACAATGAAAAACATCTTGTCAACACAAAAATACTAAAAAAGAATTCAAACCTAAAATAATACCAGAAAAAATGAATCTTGCGTGGGCTCTACGACAACAATACTTTTTTCGAAATATTCAAAAACAAATTCTGAACAACTAATATCAACAAACATGTAATAATCGTCTTATCACATCCTATTATAAAAATCGCAAATAGTAAGACTCATGTACTCTTGGTCTATGATCGAGAGACAATTCCAGTATTATAGCTTTCTTTTATTCGAGTAGTTTGTGCAGAATGAAGGATCACTTGCACACCCAAAAACTAATTATAAGTAAGTGGAAATCCAACAGAAGAGAACCATTTCTTTACACCCTTCACTAGGAATAACAAAGTACAATAATAATATATTTGCGTTTTATTCTGGTATTTTTAACTGGAGGGGTACAGTTAATTACAAAAGAATCTCTCTCTCTCACAAAATTTTCGGCCATTTTTATGTCTTAGTATTGAGACCCTTTCCGTGGCAGAAGACTTTGGTGATGACCATGCTACTAGCTAAAGTTTAAAAAAGATTACAAACAAATTGCACAAAAAGTGTTTTCGCAAATTTTTTATTTTTCCACTAAAATCTTGTCCATTGTAGGTTTTGGAAACCGAAAGGTGATTAGTCGAAATGAGCCAATTCGATTTTAAGAAAATTCGGCTAATGATGACGTTTTTCTTTGCTTGCGTTTGTTTATAAAAAAAAATATGTGATGACATGCTCTTTTATCGATTTTAACTTGTGTTGTCCCATGGAGTATAGAATATTAGTTATGAAAACTTTATATGAGTAGATTATATAGCAATAATTATAGACTTGTCATGTAACTGCAGAATATCACGTTGTCGCACGATTTTTCTTCTATGATAAAATTAAAACCATAGTAGCAGAAAGTAAATTCATTATAAATTTTTGTCAAATAGACTTTGGAAAGTAATCATCATCCTGCGATCTCCAAGATAGTCTCGCAACTATGTCAGCTCTGCAAATTGAGGCAATTTAACTTAGAAAAATCAGTAGAAAAAAGCGTAGATTGTAAATATTCTCCAAAGCTTGCACATCTTATCTCTCTCCGTAACCAGTGTTTTCGTAAACTTAAATGCCGTTATACTTCTCTTAACCTTGTTGAGTTCCGTACAGCAAGAAATCTTGTTCTTTCCTTCTATCGACGTGAAAAATCTTCTTACTCCCGATCTCTCTCTTCTTTAATTTCTAATCCTCGCAAGTTTTGGAGCTCTATCAAGAAACTATCCTCTTCTTACTCCACTTTACCTCAGTCTCTGTTTCTAGGCTCCAAATCTGTTTCCACACATGCGGATAAAGCTGAACTCTTCAATTCTCGTTTTTCCTCTTGTTGTTTTTCTCTTCAGGGGCAAATTCCTCCTCCTACCACTCCAGACTTGCCAATGATGGATAAACACCTCGACTTTTCCATATGGGATGTTGAGCGTTTACTTCAGAAATTGGATAAAAAGTCTACTGTTGGTATTGATGGAATTCCTTCTTTCTTTTTCTCTTCTTGTGCTGGCATTCTCTCACCTCACCTTCACTTCATTTTTCATCTGTGTCTTTCTACTAGCAATTTTCCAACTTTATGGAAAACTGCATTCATTGTACCTGTTCATAAAAAAGGCGCTCTTGTCGATATTTCTAACTACCGCCCTATTTCACTTCTTCCTGTTGTTTCTAAAGTGTTTGAACGTCTAACTTATAATTTTATTTTTTCTCATCTTTCGAAACACTTTTTTTGTAAACAAACAGTTCGGTTTTCGTCCTAAACATTCTACTCTGGATGCTTTGCTGTTTTTATCTTCAACCGTCTTTAAATTTTGGAAAGCTGGTGTAAAGTGTGTTGGTGTGTCTTTTGATTTTTCTAAAGCATTTGACTCTGTTCCTCATTCTCTCTTGTTAGAAAAATTATCTCGTTGTGGTGTACGTGATTCCTTGTTGTCTCTTCTATCTTCTTATCTTTCGAACCGTTCTCAGTGTGTGCATGTGAATGATTCTGTCTCCTCTTCTTCTCCTGTTCCTTCTGGTGTTCCTCAAGGCAGTGTGCTTGGCCCTCTTTTATTTCTTATTTTTATTAATGATCTACCTCTGTCGCTCCCACCTAATTGTGAAATCTGTCTCTTTGCTCATGATGTTTTTTTGATTGTTCCTCTTTCCCCTACTGCTTCTTCAAATTTTTCTCATGTTCAAAATTGTATAAACTCTGTTTCTTATTGGTCTTCTTCCAATCTCATGTCTCTAAACGTTTCTAAATGTTGTTGACTTCCTTTTTCTTTTCATCTCTTTCCGTATGTTTATAATCAATTGTATCTCAATGGTGTTCCTCTCTCTGTTGTGTCTTCTGTTCGTTGTCTTGGTGTTCTTGTTTCGCACGATCTTAGGTGGAATGATCATGCCAAGGACATTGCTCTTGCTTGTCGGCGCAAGCTTGGAGCATTGAATCGTGTCTTTGGATTAGCTCCAACTGAAGTTCGGCGTTGAATCTATCTTTCTTCTATTCTTCCTAAAATTGACTATTGCTGTGCCTTGTATGATAGTTCGTTTTCTCTTACTATTCTTGATTCTATAAACAAACTTGCTTCTCGTGTTATTTCTCGCAATTTTGACTATCGTTCTTCTAGTTCCCTACTTGTATCTCAACTTTCTCTTCCTAAACTCTCTCTTCGTCGTAAATACTTTAGACTTCTACAGTTTTTCAAAATCTATCATCGTCTAAGTCCTGTTTCTTTTTTTTATACTATTCATCGTCCTCACTACTCATCTTTACGTCTTCATCACTCTAAATATGACCGCATTCCATCTTCTGTTGATGGTTTTTCTCCGCAAACGGTGCATTCTTCTTTTTTTTATTCAACTATTGTTGATTGGAATAATCTCCCAGAGTCAGTTATTTGCCTTTCTTCTTTAACGTCTTTCAAAACAGCTTTACTTCAGTATCTCTTCCAGTGAAACATGTCAGTTATGAATTTATATTGTTCTTTTTTTCTTATTTTTTTTAAAAAAACTTTTTTACTTTCTTTTTTTCCTTTTTACTACTTCTGGTCCTAACGTTAGTTGTCTTGTTTATTCTATTCTTTTTTTACTCTTTTGATGTTGTTTGGCTTGAGTCATTGTTATTACAGGTCGGTAGCCTTTGATGACTCACACTTTTCGTGAATAAAACAGTCTTAGTCTTAGTCTTAGTCTTAATAAAAATAGTAATCATCAAAATGCTAGTCAACAGATATTATCAAAAATGTAGACTCAAAACTTTTTGATGAATAGTTATCACTTGTTTGTATTAATTTAACCGTAATTTCTGAATTATTTAACGTAATTTTTCGAGTTTCGAATTTAGCGTTTTATTCTTATGATACATCATTATCAGATTCAACAGGTGGCGACAAATCACCTAAAAGTATTCAGAAGTGTCTATCCGTTAAAATGAAAAAATTCCGAATGGAAATTTCTAAAACTTATCTGTTAAAATTTTTAACATTTATCTGTCCTGCCGGTAAACGGAACCGAGATAAATTACTGGACCAGGTATATGCTAGTGGCGTCTACCCACTAAAACATTTTTTAATTCACACTCTTCTGCGCTAATATTTGATTGTTTTATAAAATTTGAGGCAACGTTTATCCAGTAATAAAATCCTGGCTACGCCACATGTATATTCCACACCTCCTCTCCACATATCTCCATTGACTGATGTGAAACAAGTGCATACCTTTTATTTTTACTTCGCATATGTTCACTTTGTCCCTTTGTTTTATGTCTTTTTGCTAGGTGTATGCTAACAGATGATTTTCTTTTAGTGGAGAATACTAACAGTAAAAATACGATTCAGAGTATGACAGAGTTCCCTCCAGTCGCCAGAAATCGGAAAAAAAGATGAGCATTTAGAAAAAAATTTGTTTACATTCTAGTCTTAAAATTCATTTGAGATTTAGATCAAGCAGAAATATTTTTCGTCCAAATCACATAAAGAGATTTCATCCTTCAGTAAACTTGGGCAAGTATACGGGAATAAAATCTCAAGGAGTGAGCATGCGCTTTATTTACCCACTCCTTGAGTATGGGTCTAGTTTCGTTCTTTGTTTCTCACTTTTGATAGAGACAAAACGAATAGTTATACGCCGATTAATCTATTCTTTTTATTCGTAACACACTCAATGTCGAAGATCAAGATAAGAAAGATTGCTAGCTCTACTAAAAAAAAAAGTACTATTCTATTTCTATATTTTAAAAAAATCCTTAAAAAGTAGCCATGCTTTGTATTTGTTGACGAAAAAGTTTTTGAGTAGAATTTTTGCTCATTATATCAGTGAATTTTAGTTTTATTTGTGCTTCGTTCACACGTAAAGTGTTGATTTTTATTTCTTAAAACTGATTAAAATATCAGTATTTCTTCCATCATCTTTAAAATATAATAGTCAGATCAATGCCATGATGTTATACGAATGAAATTTCCAATAATAGATACAAAAATAAATATTATCGAAAGAATTGTTAATTTAAAACACGATTAATAAATAATGTTTCATATTGAAAAACAAAACTATTTGCTAAATTGAAATCTGTGAACAGCTGACTAAACGCATAGAAAAATAGACTTTCTATTTATCTTGATTATATTTTATTATTTTATTTTTTTGTCTTTTTTTTTTGAGGATGCTGTTAATTACATCTTTGTATAAAAATGTTGTATGATTATTTTTTGTCTAAACAATATAAGATATTCAATAAACAAAAATAAATTTAATTTGTCTTTTTTTTTTTTTTTTTGGCTAAATTATAAAATTTTGTTTTACTCTTCTTCTCCTTTGTAAATGCATATGTTTTTCGTTATTATTCTCTGTTCAGAAATGAAAAATTATTGTCATGAAAAAATATAGAATGACAACAGACACAATAATAAGTTTTGTTTTATGTATGTATGTTTTAAATAAATTTAATTAGTAAATATATACACGATTTTAAATTAAACTACAGAAGAAAAAAAAATGTATTTTGTCTTTTCTTCTATCTTTCACTTTCTCTTTTATCATCATAGAATAGAGTAAATTTGAAGAGAAGTAAAAGCACGTTCACATTCCATTCATTTTAGACATTGTTAGTGATCATTTCCATTTTTTTATCCTTCATCCTCGAATATAATCATATTAATCATATGGAATCTTTTTTTCCAGTTATTCACTTAACTGGCATATGAATAAAAGATTGTCAGTATAGAATTTTAGAGATGTATCCAAAAATTTTTGTTGAAGAGAATCAGTCAGTTATCCATTTTTAATTTATTCCCTTGTGAAAAATTCCCGCTATAAATCTTCTAGGAAAAGAATATGATTACGTTACTCTTCCTCACTCTTCGATACAATTATATATCATTTTTTGATATATTTTTTGTACAATTGATACAAAGTAAAATCATTTGTTAAAAATTCGAACATCTATCTATAAAATGCAAAATCAAATGCAAAATTATCTTTTTTTTTTTATAAAACAAATCAGTGAAAATTGAAATGTTACTATATAAGAAAAATTCAATGATGTTTTCTTTTTCTTTCACTTATTATTATTTTTATTTCATCTTTATTCTGTTCTCTAATCCGATTGAGAATCGCACAGATACATCTATACGTTTGTTGTTGTTTTTTTTCACGCACATTTGAGAAATACAATTGATTTTGTTTTTAATAGTTTTATTAATGACATGTGCATCAATATGTTAGAGAAATAGATTTGTTCGTTTTTCTTTTTCTTCTATTGATGCCGTTGTGTCTAAGAGTGGCGCAGAAGAGATGTTCTAATCTTTGAGAAGATTAATAAATAAAGGAGAACGTGTATTCACTTGAATCTAAAAAAAGAAAGAAGTCCTCTCTCTCTCTCTCTCTCTCTACATATATATATAGTACTTGTGTAAGTGACAACTAGTATAAGCACTATTTAAATTGTTTAACTGATTTGTACGTTTATGAAATTACTTGATTTTCCCAATTGTAGATTCTTTTGTAAAAAGTTGCCCCTTTCTCTTTATTTATATTCCTGTTTTTCAGATTTTTTTTTCTTTCTTTTTACCGAATATTTTCTATTTCTTATATTGCATGTTTTTAACATTTTTGTCGCTCCAACAAGCAAAAGTTTCTTTTCGTTTTCTGTTTTCTTCTCTCTCTCACACACACTCGTTTTTTATCCTCATAGTGGATTAGAAGCTAAATAGTTAATTTTTATTCGTCATATAAATTTTTTAAATACTGATTAATTCATGTATCAGATTTGGTTGTTATTTCATTCAATAATATTTATGTTTTGAATGTGTTATCTCATAAAACATACTAATAGAGGAAGATTTAGAATCAGATACTCAATAGTAATATTTAATATTATAATATAAAATTGTTATGTCTACCTGTTGTTATTTTTTAGATCAAACCTATTTTTCTTTTCAGTTATTTTAAAAAATGCACTAGCTCAATGTTAATGATACATAAACATTTTCAGTATAAAGTGAGCTATTTTATACTTAAAACACATTGTTTCATCTTTATAACTGAAAGATAATATATTTTATTTTTATATCTAATTTACAGATGTCAAGAACATTCTTATTATCACTATTATGCACAAAAGAAACAAAATTTTAGATTATATTTAATAACTGGTATGTGTTTTTTTCTAATATGTTCCCTCATCTGTATATAAAAGACAGGTTTTTCATAATCAGTGGCGTAGCCAGGAGAGGGGATTGTGGGGATCGATTCAGCAATTTTTTATTTTTTACATTTTTTTATATATGGTTAGATAGAGCCTGTCGATCTGGAGAAGTAAATAAGTGTTTTAATGTTTGACATATTTTTCATGTCAAAAAAATTCAAAAAATCCTTTAATTTCAAAAAAAACTCACATTTGTGTGTCGTTTTCGTTTTTCTAACTTTTTGGAAGTGCTTTTTTTCACATTCAGCATCAAAATCCGAATCGAATAATACATATTTCAAGATCTTTCGGTGATTTCCGTTTTTGACGAAAATCCCAGTCGTTTTTCGCCGTGAAAATTCGCCCCAAAAAACTCAAAGTAGTTAAGATAGCATAAAAAAGTATGTATTCGACTTAGTTTTTGATGCTGAATGTGAAAACAGCAGTTCCAAAAAGTTAGAAGAACGACAAAGAAGCAAATGTGAATTTTTTTGAAAATGAAAGGTTTTAAAAATTTTAGATCCTTCGAATTTTTTGAATTTTTTAACATGAAAAAAATGTTTTCAAACATTAAAACGCATATTTTCTCCTCCAGATCGACGTGCTCTATCCAAACATGTATAAAAAATGCAAAAATAAAAAGCCTGCTGAATTTTTGAATTTCCGGCATCTTAAAAATAGATGCGAACGCAACATGTACTCTTTGCATGGCAAATCCGGTATAAATATTGTCCAGTGAAGATGACGACCATTTTTTAACTCGTATACTATTATTATTTTTTTTATTAAAAACCATCTGTCTCTCTGTCTACTGTTCTTGATTTATCCCTTGTATTTTGTTTGTCTCATTCAAGTACCTACACATTTTCTTACAGAAAAAAAAACGCTTCACTTTATGTTGACTTTTTTTCTTACTTCATTCGGAAAAGCAATAACGTAGTCGATTCATTTTTTAAAGAAAAAAAATATACAGAGAGATTAATATCAAATTTATTCAGCAATATGAGATGATTCTAAACTTCTTCCTTTAAAAATAAAATGAACTTGTCTTCTGATTATTCAGATTACTCGAATAATTGAAGTAAAGAACAGTAAAAATAGATCATCGTCACAATATTATTATGCTTTAAAAACTCATTTTTGACTGTACATTTTAATTGAGAGCAAAACAGTTACCGTCAACATTCTTGACAGTAACAAAGAAACTCCTGTCTTTATATTTGACTATAATCAGCGGTGAAGTGAATTTTCCGATATTTTTGTTCTTTATATGAGAAACGCATGCAATATTTTATTCATTTCGAACGTTTCATATGTTCGAATATAAATTGAATTATACACCCACACCACAAAAGGAAAACATATGAGAAAGAAGCATAAAAACATATTTATTTGTTTTTTTTCTCTGTTGACTTGTTCAAAGTGGAAAAAAGAATCTTCTTTATACTATATTACTAAAAATTGTCTCCGTCTTCAGAAAAAACGGAAGTCGAACGTCGAGGTATTCTTTTTCCATTTTCTACTCGGAAAATAAACTAGTCTTTAGGCAAAATGTTCATAAAAACTCTTGAATAATCAAAAAAAAAAAATATGACTATGAAAACCAAACCTACAAAATTTTCAAAAAATTATGAACTTTTTTTTAATGAATATTTCTACTGTAGGACCAATGGCGAATCCAGCCAGCGAGCAATACGAGCGACTGCTCTTACCTTTGAGCAGAAAAATCATGTTTTGTTCAGCAGAACTATCTAAAAAAGAAACTGTGTCTATAGAAATCATACGTTCCCAAGTACTTAAAAATAATTCCGAAACTGTGTATTCATAGAGATACAGTGTACGTACATTGCATGCCTTTTGAAACTTATCATAATCGATTTTTGATATTGACCACTAAAATTTACTGAGTTTGTAACAAAAAAAAAATGAAGAATACTGAATGGAATATGCATTTTCTCTAATATGGAATATTGTTAAATATATTTGACTACGTTGATCTCTTATCACAATGAAGCTTTTTCTTCTTCAAAAGAATATCTATTACTGTTATTGTTACTGTTACTATTCCTTGTAAAATAATAGGAATGATAATATATTTCTAAAATCTATTGTCCATATATATTTGCTTTAAAAGAGAATATGGGTGCAGAACATTCACGTCATCGTGCAGCAACCTCTGGCGGTAGCAGCACTTTAAATTCTCATCGTCAATCAGGTAACGATTATATGTATACAACTATTTTTGACTCTGACACTTATACGCGTTACATAATAGCATGTTCACTATTGATCATTTTCTTCAGCATGAAGTTTTTTTGCTTCCGAAATTTTTATGGGTTTAAACTGAAATAAAAGATGACTTGCTTATGATATAATTAATCAGTTTCTTTGCTTTTCTTTCTCATATTAATTTGGCTATATGGGACTAATGAAATTGAAATCTCGATTTTTTTACGCTTTCTTTTCTATATTTCCTTGCTGATTCTTTTTACAGAAATAATATTAGAAATTAGATAGATGATACGATAAGAGTATAAAAGAAAATTGTTCAAGTTTTCTCACATCAACATTATTTTCTTTATTTTGATTTTCTTATTCAACTGATGTTACATCTTAATATGATAATATTGATCTTCTGCTTCTATTTACAAGTCAAAATTTTTTTTTATATATAAAAATAAAAGTGACAAAAGTGATGATGACTATTTGATATATAATTTTTCTCTATGTTAAATTAAACTAAGAATTGTTTTTGTCGCATTGTCTTTGTGTGACCTTGGTTTCATAGATAATGTATCACAAAAAAAAAGCAATTAATAATGATCTGTTTTATGCATGCTCTAAATATTGCAACAGCACCCGTATGATTCGAGAAAAATTATACAATACAGACAAGGGGCAAAAAACAATGGTGTAGTCCATATCCGTTAGATTGTTGAAACAGTTTTTTCTTCTTCTCTTATATACTGTATATATGAGAATAGTAGACACCTATAATAACAGAAAAAATTAGTATTAGAGATATATTTTGTTTTCTTTCTATTAGTGAAAGAAGACGGAAATCTTTTTTATTTATTTCTCACACGCGAATGGCAACAAAGATAATTATTTATAGGTAATGAGAAAATAAAAAAACCAAGCTACAAAATTCAATAAAAATCTGAAAATTAGAAAATAGTATATATAAATATATTTTTTTTTAGCTAGCTAATGATTTATTAGCTAATTTAGCACATTTCGCTTCTTCACTTAAATGCAGATTTGAATAATACTTCAATCAACATTCTAATTGGTGTACTGTTTTTAATGCTCTAATTTATTTTTTAGCACATTTTATTCAACTTCATGCATGATGAGCTTCTCTCGCTCTCGCTCTCTCTCCTTTCCATGACACACATGTTCTTTTTTCCTAAAACTTTAAATTAATTCTTCATCAAATAAGAACACTTCTGTTTAAGACGATCAAACTAGAACAAAAACCGTGGTCACTACCGATTTACCAACACGTAAACAACGTCATCCAAGGATGGATCGTTTGAGACGTACATTAAGTTTTCGGAAAAAAAAGGCAACAAAAGCAAATTCAACCGAAAATAAACCTCAACAATGGCAAGAAGACGAAAAACATGTACGAATTGGTGCATGTAGTTTTAATGTTAAAGTAAGTGAAAAGATAAAATATTAACCCTAGAACGCATATTGGGGGTCGTTCGCGACCCCAGATATGGAAAATACTGTTTTATTACGAAAAAGATAAAAACTTTATTTACGCTCAATTTATAGAGATTGCTTTTTAAATTTTTAAATAAATGAAGTAATTAGTGTAGTGCGCCTTATTGTAAGACAGTTTTCGTGGTGTTCCACGGGTTCTAAAGCAAACTTTTTGCGTTCAGTTTGTAGAAAATTGAATGCTGTATCCGATGGTAGGATCGAAGGTCTAGTCAAAATGTTATCAGGTACCGAAAAATTGGTTTTATTTGAAAAATTTCGGTTTTAGAAACACTATTTTTTCACTTGTTTGACTTCTAAGGACTTCAGTTTCAATACTAAAAATTTAAAAAGCACTTCATTTTGTTCAGTTTTAGTTAGACTTTCTAATGAAACGTTGCTCGAACAGAACGAATAAAATATGGCAGAGTTATATCTAAAATATTGCAAAGGTCATAGCTAGGGTTAAATAGATCTTTATTGAGAAATGGTTGATAACTGAAAAATGTTTTTTTTTCTAGTATTTGGGTAGTGTTGAAGTACAAGAATCAAGAGGCATGCACGTTTGTGAACAGGCAATTCAAGCACTTTTGAATGTAAAATAAATTTGTCATGCTACTTGAAACCATTAAGACTTTTTCTATATTATTTTTTTAGCAAAAAGCAAAACACATTCGAGCAATGCTTCACATCTCAGGAGATGCACTTCGCGTATCATCAATTGATGAAACAAACAAGGTGAGTAGGTAAACAAATATACACGTGTCTCTGTTTTTATTATATTATATGAATACTAGGGATTAATTGTTGATCAAACAATCGAAAAAGTGTCATTTTGTGCTCCTGACCGCCATCATGATAAAGGTGGGCTTTTAAATTTTTTTTTCAAAGTATTTTAGTTTTTTTAATTTATTCAATTCTAGGTTTCGCTTATATCAACAGAGATGGCACATCTAGACGATGGTTATGTCACGGATTTTTGGCCGTGAAAGATACTGTATGTATTTATTGAATGATGATACTTTTTTCTTATTGTTATTGATTTTTCTTTTTGTTTACACAAGGGTGAACGTTTGAGTCATGCTGTTGGATGTGCATTTCAAATATGTTTAGAAAGAAAACAAAAACGTGATCGCGAATGTGGTGTCACTGTTGAGTTTAACCATGATGGTACATCATTTACACGTTATGGATCATTTCGTACCACATCATTAACAGAACGTATTATCGATCCACAAAGTGCTATTATTGCGGGTTGGTTTTCTGATTTTTGTTTTAAATTAGTTTCTTAATAACTCAAATTCGATTCTAGAGCCAGTTCCATTATCTCCATTATCTCATAATTCAAATTCTCTACGTAGTGGTCCAACTGAGCGACCAAGACCGAAAGGTGATAATGATGCATTTATACGTAGTGCATCATTGAGATTAGGTGAATTAAATCAAACAACTTTTAAACGTCAAACATCATTGAGACCAGGTGATTTGCCATCGATACAAGAAGCAAAATTAAAAGATTTTACAACAAATAAAATGAATCACAATACAAGTAAGTTAAATGTTAATATCATTGAATGTCAAATACATTTATTATTTTTTCTGTTTATTTTCTAGTACCAGAAGAAATAGAGCCTAGTCCAACAAATGATTTAGCAAAGTTATCTCTTACTGAGATGACAAATCTAAATGGTATGCATACAGCTTGATTGTCTGATTTTGGTATTTGATATTACTTCAATTTCTAGGATATTCAGATTCTACCCAACAGATACAAACTTTTGTTAAACCTTCTTTACCAAATATCATACAACATCAACCTTACACTAATATTACAAATGAAAATGCTCAAGAACAACGAACTTTATGGTCCCACCAACAATCAGATTCGTCAAATCAAAATCATAATGGCTCAACGTATCACCCACCTTCATCAACATTATCTTCATTACCGTCACAACAACAGCAATCCCCACAATCAAATCGATTAATAAATGATGCTGTCGATACAAATTTGACTGATTTTGTTTTAAGTTCTAATCCGATTAATCCATTTTCACCGTACGGTTACTACGTCGCACAACAACAACAACAACAGCAACAACAAAATACTGTTATGTCAACATCACAAAATGTTTCGTCACATCATCATAATCATAATTCTGTAATATTTTCTCCAAAACGTTCAACAAATCCATTTGATGAAGATCTAATACATCGTTGAAAAAAGAAAGTATATTTTATTTTATACATCATTTCTTCTTTCGCAGAGGTATTATCATGTTCCTATTGTGTCTTCTCAAAATAATATATTGAATTTTTTGTTTTGTATTTTTGCTACTGCTTTGCTTATTCTCTTCCATATTTTAGTCTTTATATTTCAACTCTTTTTCATCAATATTGTTCATTTATACACATTCTTGTTTCATACTAATTCAACAACAAAACTGTAGTAGAGACACTTCTATTGGATGTGTATCTTCTTTCTTTTAAGTGTGTGTATATCTCCAATAAGATTCGATCACGTAGCTCCGTTTTTTCTCTCTCTTGATCTATATTAAAGGGCAAATATTATCGTTAAATTGTGTATGTAAAAAAAATAGATTCGATTTGTGAACTTGTCAAATTCATCTTTAAATCGCTATGATTACATTTGGACAGAATTAATTATTTTTTCATGCTGACTATAATGAATTTTTGATTGATGCTAAATTTTTTTGTTTTAATTCCGTTAGTTCTTTTCTCTTAGAGTCTGAACAGTGATGATAAAAAATGTTAAATGTTGTTTTTAAATATTCAACTGATCAAGGAGCATTAAATCAAGACTAAAATTCAAAAAAAGATGTTCTGTTGTATTTCAAAAGATGTAAATAAAACTATTAAAAACTGTTCTATTTTCTACTTTTCACATAGATCAAATGTTCATGAATCAAAAAAAATCGTTTTTCTGGAACAACATTGTTATTTTTAAAGAGAAATATGTCACATCTAATTTTTTTTGTGTTTTTTTTTGTTGAAGATTATTTCCATCAATCTATTATTAGAATGACTGAACGTCAATTTTATATTTCATCATTTGATGTAGATAACAACATTCCTATTAAAGAGCAAGAGAATGATTTTAATTCTATCGCTGAATATACATTTTGTTCATTTGTACGTTCTCAAGTATTATTTACTGCCATTCGATTAAATATATTTACAACTATTCATAAATCAGCTACATGTTCATTGACAATTGAAGAACTTGTATTAAAATTAAATATTAAATTAAAACTCTCTTATTTTAAATCGTATCTAACCTATTTGGTTTATTTACGTTTGTTAAAATTAACTAATGAAAATAAATATGAATGTACAAATGTTACAAGAAAATATTTAGTTCAAGATAAAGATAAACAACAATGGTATATTGCAGATGGAATTCAAGTATGGGATAAACGTTTGTATCAATTTTGTTCTTATTTGGATAAAACATTACGTAGTGGTAAACGTTCAAGTGAACAAAATCAATGTTCAAATAATTTATGGTCTGTATTTGAACAAAAACAAGATATAATGTTATTTTTTGCACATGTTATGGCATCATTTACACGTTGTACAACCAATGAATTATGTGATCATTTCGATTTTTCATGCTATCAAACATTGGTGGATCTTGGAGGATCTTTAGGTGATTTAAGCCGAACAGTAGTGGCTAGAAATGAAAATATAAAATGTTATAGTGCTGAATTACCAGAATTATGTCAATATATTCAGACTAATATTCATCTATATTATCATGAACGAATTGAATATATTTGTGAAGATATTTTTGAACAACAATGGTCCGATAGTATTGAAAATAATATTGATCAAATTGATATTGTTTGTTTAAAATATATTTTACACGATTGGACCTATAAACAACGTCAATTTTTAGTAAATAAAGTATATAATCTGTTAAAACGTAAATCAAAGAATGAAAATGGTCTAATGCTTGTTATAGAAAAAATGGTTGATGATAAACGATCAAATTTAAGTACTCTTTGTACAAGTGTTTCAATGCTGATTGAACTCGGTGATGGTACGGGCTATGATGGGACGCTGCTTGAATATAAACAATTAGTTCAAGATTGTGGATTTAAAACAATTCAGTTGATAAAACTTAATGGACCGATGGTAGCAATGTGTGCGTATTTAAAATAATCAATTCTAAGAAAAAAGACGTCGAAAAATTCTTTTCACTTTGTTTTCCGAAGAATGATAGAATACATGTTTTTCTTGGTATCTCAGGTCTTAATCGATCAATATTATGATAAGCCGAAGTGGTGTTTAATCTTTTTTTTATTTTTTCTTATGAAATAAAATTTGTTATAAAATTTTTTTCTTATTTTAGTGCAATGAAAAGAGCTATTTTTCATATTATTATTAGTATTAAGAATCTCATAATTATTTTGTTTTATGGTTATTTGTTAATTTGTTAGCAGGTATTTTTATTGAATGAATTTATTGGTTAAACATATTTTCCTTCTTTTTTTTCTATATATGTTTTGTAATTTAGAATTTAATTATTAAAATATAATAACGGTGTAGGATGAATATAAACGCTTTTTGACTAATGAACAATGAATAAATATATGTAATGTAGACTATTAAATATTAAATCGCATTACTTCAACATCAATCCATTGAATACTGATTTATATTCTTTTTCGATGAAAAATTACCGTTGTTCTGTATGACACGATTCTGTTTTTACTTTAAAATTATTCTCCTATATTTCAGATGTCTACTTTATGCAGAGTGAACTTTGTATCAAAATTGAATTCATTTGGAAAAGTAAGGTTTTTGCTGCTCATGACTATTTTATAAAGTATTTTCTTTTCTTCTTATCGTGTTTGGACAGAGAGTATTGATGTATTTAAACAAAAGATTTTCATCATTATTTTGAGCAAAATTTTCTCACAGTACAAAAATCTTTCAAAATTTTTTTATTATAAAAAAAATAGTTTCAATAACAAGTACGGTTTCAAAATTATAGATATATTATATCAAACGTCATCCAAGACTTTGAATGAGAAGGAGTGATGTACTAGGACCCATTTTTTAGAATATTGTCACTTTCGACACATTCTTGACTCGTCCGGTTTGAATAACTTTTTTCTACTTTATCATTTTTCAAAATCGCTTCGTGTAGCAATATCTTTTCGCCGTTCATGTCGATAGTCTTAACCTTTTCTTCCTACTAAACATCATGTTTGATTTGAGAACAGTTATAGTAATACATAGAAAACTAAATCGAAAATTTGATGCTTTGTTTTTAACAGAAGAAATTATCCATTTTATATTTTCTAATTCTAAACCGAGACAGTTTACGCTAAAATTTGAGCGAACAATGGTATAGTAGCACCATAGGACATAAGCGTGCAAGAAACTAACAGTTCATCGAACAACGATAACATCGTTTACTATTTGTGGTTGTGGATTAGATCGAAGGACGCATTGTCAATTTTTATATGGTCTCAGTTCTGTTTTGCGAATAAAATAATTTTTTCCCTTCTGCCAGATTTTCATCTCCCGTGTATCGCTGATAAAAAATAATGATTGCAAAATAAATTTGAGAGTTTTTCGATTAAACCAGTATAAAAATAGTTTTTCAGATACAAAAAGAAATTTTGAATGATCTCTCTATTCGCAGTTAAAGAAAAGTGTCAAAATATTTTGTTTTTTTAAATTATTTGAGCAATAATTATTGCAATTAAGCTGTACGCTTCGTGTTTATTTCTATTTATAATTTTTATTATTAAGATTCATATCGAATATCAAACAAACGTGAACAGGTGGTACAAGTGAGTCCTGATATTATGTGATAGAAAATATCAAGAAATGATAAGAGAATATTGACCAAGATATTCGAGATATAACAGAAGTATTTAAAATATTTATCCAATTTTTATTAAAAATATGAATTAAATCCAATTACTTTTACACTTATCGTAATAATGAAGAATTTGCAGTGTTGTCAAAAGAAACACAAGAATAGTGGAAATAGAATTGCTATATGTACATAAAATGACATCAGTTGTATCGCCGATCAAAGAGTCCATCTCTTTTTTACAGATATTGATATCATGACAATGGGATGTATTTGGAGATTAGAGGATTAGACATATTGTATGGAAAAGGTTGGCTGATGTTATACATACATAGGAATCAAGATCATTGCACAATTAGAAACAATAAATAAATGACTAAAAATAGGCATAATAATTAAAGAGAATCCTTGACCATCAATTATATATAGGTTTTTTTTAGTTTTTGCCTTTTCTTGTATTTGTCAATATTTGATATCACATGTTATAGAAAATTTTCTATTTTTTGACAACTAATTGCAAAAATGGGTACTAGAATGTAATAATTGACTACATAAATTAAGATTTCTTTTTGTGAGCTTTCAATATCCTCAAATCTAGACATTATTCAATTGTTTTTATTTGTGAACCATTGAACTGTTCGATCTTAAGGAAATCGGGTACTTTTGAAAAAATAAGATCTGCTAGCATCTTGATTTCTCAAAAAAAAACGAGTAAAGTAACAAATATATTTGACACGCCCTGTTGGTTTTTGTCCTCTAAATATGACTATCAAAGGATTATTGAAAGTTTGAATATCTAACATGACTTTTTACATTAGTTTTCTTGAAAAGATTCTGTTAGTGCTATCAAACAATTTTGTCGAAGATAAGGTGAATACTGCAGCAAGAATATAGACATAATATTTTTGTTTTAAAATGTCGATTAAATATAAACATGAAGTTATTGTAAATTCGTTGAGCGTCTGTTGATTATAGTAAAGCTTTCGTTGTTCTGTCGGTTAAGGATTTTTGTCACATTTTAAAAAGAGACGATAATAAAGAAAAGAAAATATTTTTTAAATTGTATTGTATGTAGCTGACTAAAAATTATTTTGTTCTGTCCGTGTAAGATGACGAAAATTTTTTATCGAACAGCTGATGTAGTGTCTATTTGATCTTTTTCTTTTTCCTACACGAGATATGATAATTACATTTTTTACTCAAAACTTTGTTATTAGCATCATCACTCACGTATTATCTTTTCATACGTCTGAACTACACAATAATCTATTACGCTACCTTTTTATTTAACTCCTGTTAGTATTGCTCGATGTCAACATAACATTTAATCTAGACTATCCGTATTCTGATGAACTGCATGGAAGAGTCTTTCGATACATTATTGAAGAGAAACTTTAGGATGACACACAGACTTCATTGAGCTATGAAGATTTCAAGGTCATCAGAAGAAAAACAAATTTTTTACTTTAACCAAAAAATGTTCACATCCGCTAATCTACTAATAGCGGATATGAACAAACACATGGGTCTTATAGAAAAGTTTGACTGATTCTTCCAAGGGAAATGTTCAGGTGTATAAATACACTTAATACTATACCTATAGTTTATCATTTTTTTTAAGAATAGCTTGATTTTATCTTGTGTAGATTTCTTTATATATTACCAGAAGTTTGCTGAATAGTTACTACGAGTAATAAATTGTTTTCGGTTACTTTTTCTTATTTAGCAAGTTACCTTTCGTACTGTTTATTCTTCTGCGTGATCCTAGTCATTAAATAAGTCTGTAAAATAATAATGTGTATCTCGTATTATATATTTTTTGACAACTTTTTTACGTTTTTAAAATTTTGATTTATTTTTCGTTTTTAGATGTCATCGGAATCGGATCCAACATCGCAAGAAAGAATGCGCCAGCGACCACAGTTTACTAATACGAATGCAAGTTAATGCTTACTTAATTAGGTTTCAGAGATGAAAAAATACAATTTATTTATAGGTTGATAAACATGTGGCAAGCTTATTTGGTGACTATAATGACAATGTTGATGATTGGGACGAGTCATGTGACGATGTACCAAAATCTCCATTTGTGTTAACTGGACTACCTCCTGAGGTGAGTTTTTCTCCTCTCACATTTTAATATTGAAGAAGTAGAAAAAATGTGTTCTTAGATCGAAGAAGGAAACATCGAATATAAATTGAAACTTGTTGATCCAAATCCAGGTAAAAAGATTGTTTTCAGAAAAATAAGAAACACAACATATTGCTTGTTTCTGGTGTTTAGATCGATTAGAGCATTTAGTAACTCAAATGAAATGGCGAGTACAAGAAGGACAAGGTGAAGCTATTTATGAAATTGGTGTTGAAGATTGTGGTACTTTGAGTGGTGTAAATGCAGAAGAATTAGATGCATCATTAAAAACATTAGAAAAAATGGCTGATCGTTTGGGTGCATCAATTACAATTTTATATAAACGTAATGTTAATAATGATCGTCAGGTTGTTGAAGTACTAGTGCGGAAAGTGCCAGATGATCAACATTTCATTGATTTAAGAGTAGCCATATTAGGAAATGTAAAGATTTTGTTTTTCTTTATTATCCTACAATCACTATTTTTCAAACTCCTTACTATTTAGGTCGATAGTGGGAAAAGTTCATTGGTTGGTAAGTATTACTATAGTTTGCAATTGAGTTAATACTGTTGACTTTTTTAATTAGGTGTGCTTACTCACGCTGAATTAGATAATGGTCGTGGTCGTGCAAGACTAAATCTATTTCGTCATTTACATGAAATTCAATCCGGTCGTACTAGTTCAATTACCCATGAAATCTTAGGTTTTAACGATATGGGCAAAGTATGTTTTCATAGTATTTTTGTGAGTTATTTAGTTTTATTGTCCAATTTAGAGTGTCGATTATCATACAGCTCGTACACCAAACGAAATATGTGATCGTTCATCAAAGATTATAACATTCATTGATCTTGCTGGCCATCATAAATACATGAAAACAACAGTATTCGGTCTAGCTGCTCATTTACCAGATTTTGCTATGCTAGTCATCAATGGATCAACAGGCGTTGGTATGTTAAACACAGTCTTATTCAATGGATACAATTTTGAGATTATTTAACGCATTTTTGTTTTGTTTTAGTTGGTACAACCCGTGAACATTTTGGATTTGCTTTGGCATTACAAGTACCCGTATTTGTTGTTATCAACAAAATAGATCTCTGTTCAAAAGGATCTGTTCAACAAACGGTTGAATGTCTACGTTATTTGTTACAGCATACTGGGATAAAATTAGAACCATTTTTTGTTGAGACAACTGACGACGTTGTACAAGCAGCGGATAAACTTGTTGAAAAGAGGTAGATAAAACTAATTTTCTTTGCTTATTTTCATACTTTCTCCAGTTTTGTTTTATTATTTATAGCATTTGTCCTATATTTGCAATATCATGTACAACAGGCGAAAATATAGATTTGTTAAAAAAATTTCTAAATATATTACCACCGAGATTAACTGTGCCAGAACAAGAGAGACTATCTAAATTACCAGTAGAATATCGAGTAAGTTGAAATGCTCTATTTCTAGTGATTTTAACTGATAACTGACTATTTAGATTGATGAAATCTATTCTTCTGCACAACCTGACTCCGTTGTTGTTGGTGGTACATTGCGAAGCGGTACAATTCACGAAGGAGAAAACTGTTTAGTTGGACCGTTAATTAACGGTGATTTTGTGCCAATTAAAGTAACAAAAATTCAACGATATCGTGTTCCAAGGCGAATGGTTCGAGCAGGACAGTCGGCTTCATTACGTCTACCATATATTGAGGGTAGCAACCTGCGCAAGGTAAGAGAAAACATTCCTAATTGTACTTTGCTTTCAGTCGATATTTATTACAGTGTGATTACTTTATTATTCATTAGGGTATGGTTATTGTTTCGTCGACATCAAATCCGAAAGCTTGTTATGAATTTTTGGCTCATATTTATTTACTTCATCATGCAAATGCAATACAGAAAGGTTTTCAAGCCACTGTACATATTGAAAATGTTCGGCAAACAGCACAAATTATTGCCATGGACAAAGTAATGTTGGTCTCAATAAAGTGTTCATTTGTTATCATTTTATTGGGTTATAGGATGAATTACGTATCAACGAATATGCAACAGTTACATTTCGATTTATGCTCCGATCTGAATATTTGCCGAAAGGTAAATTTTTCTTTTCATACTTTTCTATTTACATCTAGAACACTTTTTTTCTAACTGAAGATTCACGACTTATATTTCGTACTGGCGAAGCCAAAGGTGTTGGACGTGTGATACAAGTTACCCCATGTTAGAACAAATAATGATTACCGGTTTCTCTCTTTCCTATCTGTAAATAAGCACAGTTAGTTATTTTTGTGAAATCAAATCTCAACCTCCGTCTTCATGTATATACTCGACATACTTAATATGTGTGTGTGAAGCAAGTACAAAAGTTCAATTCGATATTTTTCTATTTTTTTAGCTTTTTTCTTCTGATGCGCGCATGTTTAACACACGCACATTTCATTTCTTTATAATTCGATATAAACTTTCTCTTTCTCGAACCATAACAGATATAAGTTATAATAGTTTTTTGTATAACAATTGTATTAACATTTTTTTTAAAGAAAAGCCATGAACAATGAAAACAAAAAGCACTGTAGCGTGGATTTTATGTTTTTCAATAACTCGTGACATCACGAAATAGAAGCGAAAAGTTGTGATAAAAGACCACGAAATCACGTCATTTTGAGCACGGAGCCAGTCTTCAGTCATCTTGCATCTACAAGTGAGTGCTATAAGGATCAACAAACCATTTGCTTACTCTCGTAATACATATTAGTTAAACGACGATTATTTAACAAAGAAGAATTTCCGCTTTTTCAACATATTTCAGAAATTGAAACAGATACTGGAAATTGGGTAATTCTTTGGGAAACGTAGTACGTTTACATCGACTACGTGTCAATCGTTTGAAATCTTCAGGATTAGTGTAGCGTGAGCTCCTGATGTCGAATATCACGTTAAAAAGTTTTGAAACAACTGCATGTTGGTGTCCCTCATCTGTGGGAGGCTCGTCTTCCAGCAGCATGAAGCTGTTGCGGCCATTTTTATCATTTTTCAACGAAATATTTTTTTGAGCTGATACTGCCAGATTAGAATTTGTATATATAGGATCCAGCAAAACACAACATTCCAAAATATAAGAAACAGTCTTCCAAATTTTTTTAAAACAATCGTTCGTTTTGAAAAATAGACTGTTTTTGCAAACCATATTTAAAAATAAATAATAAACCATAATCAAGTCAAAACAACATAACAAGATATGTATTCGACGCGTCTTTTCAAGCTCTACCCAGAGAATTGACTTTCATTTAGATTTAAAAGCACTTAACGCTAGAAAAAAGTCGGGTTTTAGAGAGCAATTTCGTCGTTTTCAAAGTTGGAACACGTACTGCGTCGTTCCATGGGATTCCGGAGCGTGAAGCGGCATACGTTTCTCATGTACTCGATCTGGACCATCAGAAAAACAGGTTTTCGGTTTTGGCTGAATACTTCCAGAAAAACGTTTTTTCCAGAAGACTTTTTTGTTAGTATAGTGCTCACTGAAACATATTTTTGAGCTCAAAAACGTCTTTCATTGAAAAATGATAAACAAGGCCGCAAATGCTTCATTTTCCTGGAAAAGGAGCCTCCCACAGGTGAGGGAAATCATCGTGCTGTTGTTTTAAAACTTTTTAACGTGATATTCGTCATCTGGAGCTCAAATTATACTAGTCCTGAAGATTTCAAACGATTGACATATAGTTGATGTAAAGGTGCTAAGCTTCCCAAAGAATTATCCAATTTTTGGAAGCGATACGTTCGTGGGTATGGTTTTGCGAGAAAAGTAACTTGATTGTTGTCATAAAATAAACGTTTTGGAGGTCAATAACAGAAAAAATTAAATCACATCATTGTTCAAGAAAGTTTATCTTGTACTATTTAGACAAAGACACACCATTTTATAGCAAGCGTCACATTCATTGGTTAACCTTTTTCTTGATTTACTGCTGTTTCTTCAGATTTCTACAAATCTAAAAATTTAGCAATAAAGCACTCTCATTCAAACTAACCGATATGAGATTGCAGAATTTTTTTCCTTTGTTGAACAACGAGTTGCTGGTAACGTTTGGTAATACTAAGATCTTTCTGCTTGCAAGAAAAGATATGATATTTGTATCAGAATTCAAAGACACGATAACCGTTTTTATACTAAAAAAGCGCATGTTTTTTCATTGATTTTTTCGAAAAGATTCCGTTTCTCACCGCAGGTATGCATGTTACCTTTTCTGAAGAGCCGGCGTTAACCACGCTTTTTCTTCCAAATGATCGCCAATATTCGTGGTTTAAATGTACAAAAACTCGATAAAAATCCCATCGTTTTCCCTAGAAACAAATTCTGTTTTTTCAGTAAAATGTCGGAATCCAAAGGAATTTCAATGATGTTAATTTGTAGAGCAAACCAGACAGTACGGAAAGATTCTGCTTTATAGAGGAACGTTGCCGCGTAAAGAATACAGAGCCGTACTTTTGTGTTTCATTTTAGAAGGTAAGAAAAAGGGCCTCTGATAAGCCTGTAAGACGTTTTTAGGGTTTTTGATGAAAAATGTAAATTTCAGAAAATCTGATTCTGTACTGTCAAAATGATAGAGCATTTTTCTACGTAATGGAACCGTTCTGACGTCTGTAACATCTAAAGCGAACGCGAATTTTGGGAAACCTCAACTGTCGCATTTTGACGACCATTTTAGCAACATCTCGCGAACAGAGATAAATAAATTAAAAAGAATTTTCGTCATCGTACTTTTATATGATCAACATTCTCGGAAAGTTTGGTCCAGATCGGACTTGTAATTACAGAAATGCGGTATTTATCTATCATCGACTCGACATGTTCTTCCCTTCTCTCACCACATTTTTCTTAATAACAATAACAATATGTCTTATACAGCACAAGTTGATAAATTTCAAAAAGAAACTGACAAAAATGTCAATTTAGACACTAAGCTAACATTATGTTAGCTTAGTGTCTAAATTGAATCTTTATGGATGCCACAAATGTTAAACTAACTAACCATAAAACAGGAATAAATAGCTTGAAACAATAATCACTTTGTGAGCAATGATACTTCATCATGAAAATTGAGTATTTCGATATATATTTGTAGAGCGAGTAATCAAGAGGTACACAAAGAGTAATCAAGATATGAGAGATACCCCACGTAGAAATAGCAAAAGACTTTTGCGCTGTCAAGCAAAAAAGAATGCAAAAATATAAGTGGCTTACTGGTTGAAAAATGGTTAGAAATGCGAAATTCTATATATTCTTCTAGAACAAAATATTTACATTATTTTTACATGCGTTCGTTATTCACTTGATTCACACACAAAACAAAAAGTTTTGACATATATGACAAGCGTGAAAACGATGAAAAACAGACTTCATTAACAGGAAAGTGTGAAATCATGAAAAATAGAAGCAACATTGAGAAAAATTATGTGCATCTTTACAAAGTGACAGACAGACTTTTATAACAGAAGAGTTTTATTTCACTTCGTTTGAAAAGCGAAAACAGGCGTTACGTTGGCCGATTCCATGATAAATGCAGGTTGATTAGTTCTTGTTAGTCTGTAGTTCGCAGTGTTACTTCAAAATCAAGTCCTTTTGCACAAATCGTCTCTGCATAGGTGTAGCTAACGAAACATAAACGTGTTCGAGGGTCGAACGCGATTCAGGTTGCGTCTCGGTCGCCAAAAGAGCAGTCTGTCCCATAGCTCCGAATGACAGCTGAGAGCAACGAATGGCAGGAGTAAATTGGGGAAATAAAGGAGAAAGAAAAAGTAGTCATCTTGAATATCATTCAGAAACATTGGTATCCAGAATTGCTGAAGGAGACCGGTGATCGATGACGGTAGCCAGAATAGTAGATAGAGTGTGGCGATTGAAAGTAACTGAATAGTCAGTTTTCGGTGCTTTTTCCATGCAAAAGTGGATTTCATCTGTCTCTTTTTAATCAGTACACGTACGAGAAACGAGAAACTGAATACAGCTATGAGCAACACAGGTATCCCAATATTGACGAGCCAATCGAAGCTGCCAATGGCATGATTTTCGTAAAAACAAGGTCCAGCGCACAGTGGTACGGTGTAAATAAAATCGTTTACACATGGGTACAAGTAGATGACGGACAGGTAGAATACAGTCGGGTAGAAAATGCAGATGAGTATCGGTAAGTAATGAAGTAGCAGTTTCTGTCTTCGTGCTGTTAAAATGCTATGGTGAAATACGAACAGATGACGCTCTATTGAAGTCCATGACATCAGGAAAATGTTAATGCCATTCAGGGTAAATTCAAAGAAGTTCCAGAATAGACAGTAGATACTCGATCGTGGTGAGACGTAATGTGTTCGGTAGTAAGTGATTGTCATCGACAGTTCACACGACACTTGGATAAAACTAACAATGACCAGCAGGATGATGACATGATTGTTTGTTTTGTGCCTAATTTGTTTATTCGTGGCGTATTGATAGAGTAAAAACAAGGAGCATGAAATCGAGAATGGTTGTATTACCAATAGCAAGGCAAATTTTATTTCATCAGCTAAATGATCAGGTAAAATCATCATCGCAGTTGTATTATCCATGATGATCTTTATTGTAAGGAGAGCGATAATTATATGTTTTTTTTAACAAATGATAGATCTCATTTGATGCATTATAGAAATGAATTTATTGTGGTTTTTTGAAAAAAAAATAAGACTGTTTCTAAAATGCCTACTTGGTTAAAGACAAGAAAAGAAAATGATAAATAGGAACCGTTCAAGAACTTATATAACTACTTTTTCCTGTTACAACATAACTATATATCATTTTCTTTTCTTGTCTTTAACCAAGTAGGCATTTTAGAAACAGTCTTATTTTTTTTTCAAAAAACCACAATAAATTCATTTCTATAATGCATCAAGTGAGATCTATCATTTATTAAACAATCCATGTAGTTATTGTTCCCCTTACACATGATCATCATGAACAATACGTAAGAATAACTGCGATTCTTTATGTTGTTTTAATCTCGTTTATTGATGTAAAAGTAGAAAATCCAAAAGATACAAGCCACAAAAGTGGATCGAGGATCCATATACATGTGGTCACCGTAAAACAAAAAAAAAAGAAACAAACACTTAACTGTTACAGATTCGCTAACCCATACTAAATAGTACAAGAGGAAAAATGAGAGAAGAAGCGAGAAAAAAAAGAAGAAATATTATA